AGTCTTTATGAAGAGAACATGTGGCCACAATTCAATCTATTTGAGAGGCCGACAATAATTTACCATATATCATATTACACACGAGAAGTCTAGCAATGAGAAAGAAAGCAATTCACATCAAGAATTGAAGATCCAAAGCTCGGGATTGAAGATCAAGATCAAGATCAAGAAATTGATTTCCAATCATATTTCTTGTAATCATATATGTCTCGGGTGATACTTTTTCATTATTCTTTTTGTAATATCATAGAAATCATTCTACACTAAATTCTTTCTTGTATTGGATGAGGATGAGATAATTGTTTACTTATTTTTAATTCAAGGTTAGTGTATTTTTGATTAATCTTGAATGAATATTTCATTATTTGATTGCTTGATCAACAATTAGATGATGAGTTGCTTGTTTTAGTATTATAAGGTTTATAATAAATTTAGTGCAGCGCAAGATTAACACAAGGACACTAGATATTAAGACAACTTGTATGACATATGCAATCATCTAGATAATTGTATATGTTAATGCATAAGGCTTATGAATTCGAAATTGGAATATAACCCGATCGTTCTTATGTTTAACTTACCTCATAAGTGATAGGTTGATAAGACCGAATTATCGATTGTCATGAATATATAAATCATACTAAATTACATAGGCTGAGAATTGGAAATAAAATAACTGTTGAATTTTGACCCAAATTCTGTTGAGAATTGGCGTTTTGGTTGAAAAAAGCTTTGAAGAGGTCAAAATATGGATAACGGAATTTTGGAGCAGAGATTGGACGCTTGAGCGCCCAAATCCGGGCACTTAAGGCGCCATTTAGGTAAAGAAACAGATTTGGATAGAGATTCAGCACCTGAGTGGAGTGTGAGCTTTTCTGGTCGCGCGTCGATATCATCCGGCCCACAGCCTGTTTTGCGTTTTAATGAATTTTGGGATGATCTTTCCATCTAAAAAACTAGTTTTAGGTTTTGACATGTACTCTATATATAGTTGGCTTTTCATTGTGATTTAGAATAATTTAGAAATACAAAATCTTGTATTCTTTCATCTTATATTGAATTCTCCTCCTCTGCCCGTGGTGCTTTCCCACATAAATCTTGGTGTTCTTGATTGTTAATTTCATCTTATCATATTACTCTCATTTATTGAATCTAACAAACGATATCAAAGCTAATTGGTATCACCTTGTTTTATAACAAGTGGTATCAAAGCCTATCGCTCCCATGCTGCAGTCTTGGTAGAAATATGCCTTTGGCAAGAGAAATTCGAGGGCTTTCGGTGCAAGGCTGTGAAAAGGGTGACCATGGCATGGACAATGGGCATACAATGAGACAATTCAGGCTCTGTCCACTCTCGGTAGTTCAGACAGTTGTAGAATTTAGTGTTTAGTGTAAATTAAAATCAGATTTTTAATAGAAGTTGATTAAATGTGTGATTGAAAAGTTATGAATTCATAAAATATGTTATTAAAATTAATTGTTGATTTTGATTTCGAGATTTTAATTTGATTTTAATACAAACAGGGGCTTAGTCACTTGGTCACCATGGTTGGCCATGTTCATTTGGTTTCCAGCATTATTATATGGCGACTAGGGCGTTGGGATTTTTGGGGTCTAAGGCGAATTATAGAAGTTGGGCACCAAATTTGTAGTATGCACTCAAATCTTTTTCGTTAATAAAAGTTTTACCGAACATTTACTTAAAACTCAATAATAAAACAGCAAATATTACTTGTCAACATCCTGAGGGACAATAACAATGTGCAATTTGCATTGTTTGCAATTACTGATGAACCCAAAGTAACATTCCTGTGAGACTGGGCAGTGGCTGAGAGTGGTAACAGAAACAGCAGGACAAACAACATTATACTTGAAACAGGAAAAACCATGTGGAAAGTGGATTTCCCTCAAAAGAATTGATTCAATAGAAACAAGAGTTTTGTATTGGTTGGTTTTATCATTGCAGGTAAGACAATTCAAGGAGACACCTGATCGAGTATTGGAAGAAAAATCAACAAATATGACTTTTTTTCATTGACCCGTAGTCTTCACTTCCTTATGCCTTGTCTATTTTTCTTGAAGTCTACAATTATTTTTCTTCCACTATCTAACAAACATAACGATTGATGAGTGTAGTATTTTCTTGTATAATTACTCTTGTAGGGTCAAACCAAAAGAAGTTTCTATTATTGTAGTTGGAATGTCTTTATTAATTAAAAATAAAGAAGTTTTTACTAACACTATTCTCTACTAAATAAATAAAGGAACAAGATATGGATATAGCCATAGACTATAGCTAATGTTTCTTAATACTTTTAAAAGTCATTTTCCTGCATCAGTTTCTCCTCTCCCACGGGGACAGCCCTTGACGGGTTTCGAAGAAGATGTTTAATGATTTTCTGGGTTCACAACCCTTAAAACTCCTCTCTTTAGACGTGTTAAACAGGTCGAACCGTTTAGACTCCGGCATAGCCTAGAACTTTTGACGCTAAACTTCTCTTTAGACGTATAAAATGGGTAGAACAATTCATACTCCGGCACAATCTAGAACTTTTTACACCAGCCTTGTATTTTTTTATGTTTTAATTTTCTTAAAAGTATAAAAAAAATTAGAAAAATATCGAGAGTGTCAAGCGGTTCGACCAAATCACCTTGGACTTAAGTATCCGGACCTCTAAACAGAACAGATATTCAACAAACTTCACTATGAGAGCTAAAATAAGTGACAAGAAACAAGACAACAAAATACTTTAATTTCAATAATTTTTTGTTCAGTGCTGTTTCATTCCAAACATTAAATTGATTTAGTAAGAATGATTCTTTGTAAACAAGGAAGTAAGATCAATTGCAAGCAAAATAGGAGGTAAGCCCATACCTCATTGACATAGTAATAATTAGACAGGGGACAGTGCTGAATTCCCACTTGCCATTGGATAGGAACCTAAAATCTCATACACGAGCATAAGTGGCTTTCGAAAAGGAGGAAAAGAAAGAAAGAAAGAAAAAAAAAAAAACCTAGTCAAACTGTCAGCATAATTTTGAAATAAGAAAAACAAAATTTAAAAAGAGAAATTTAATTATTCTTAAAAACAAAAGTTGCAGATGATAATTACTTGTGAGCCCATTAAATTTGTGGAAACAATATAATAATCGATATGTTTTTTGTCAACATAAAAAGTCTAGGATTACTCTGAATGACAATGTTGTGTGTTCTCAAAAAACTAGTGGCAGCAAAAACAAGTTGATGTATTGTTAACTAAATTGTAACCCATGATTGCATGATTGAAAATTTTATAACGATTCAATGTTTTTTAATGGTGTACATTACAAGGACTATACCACTCGTGTAGCTGGAAAATTTATGCATGCTGGCGGGAAACACTTAAAATTATTGATCTAACACATTCAGAATTTAGGCTTAAAAATTGATCAAATGAAATGTATCGAGTCTAATATAGTGAAGCTAAACAAATTAAGCTTTATATTCAATAAGTTTAGAGTAAAATGTATGAATTTTTTGTTGTTTTGAATGTTGTTTGGTACATTTTGGAGTCTGTGTGGATTTTTCTTTCGGGAAAAATTCAGATTTCAGAATTTATCTTTGGACCTTTTCAAAAATAACAATTCATCTTTC